AGGAGTACATGCAGTGGAATGGAGGGAAGATAGGGAAAACTCTTCAAGAGCAGCTTGGTCAGGACCGTGGAGCGTGGCTGCGTTTTATCGAGGCTCCTCGACTCTAGGAATGGCATCAGAAGTAGACAAAGAAGAAGAAGACCAAGAAGTCCAACAGGATAAAGAAAGCGGACAATATCTATAATCAGATTGACAATACTACTGCGGGTAAAAAAGAAATTGGTAAGAACTTCAAACATCATATCAAAACAGTAAGTATATCACTCTACTGTATTATATGGCAATAAACTTTGAGTGACTCAAGAGAAGGACTTCAGCAGGATTATGGCTGCTGAAATGATTTTTTTAGGAATATTATGGGATAAAACCAGAAAATAAAGTTTAACAATGAAATGTCAATAGCTTCGATGTTAGAAAACCAACTATATGGAACGAGGTAGCACGTATGAAGAAATATTTTAAAGGAAACAGTTCTACGATAAGAAATAAACAGATTTGAGGATTGGGATCTCGTGTTGAACGAGAGGAGCAAGGAGTAAAGAAATTAAGATAGTAAGAAGGTTTTTTGGTTGTAAAGGTTCGAAAAAGGAATACACCTAGGAAATATTGCCGTCGAAAAACGGGATAGAGCCACTTCAATTCGGCATAGCAACTGGATACGTGGGAGCGTCTGGGGATCCCAAGGACAAATCTAATGAATCAATTCATCAGTCTCTTTAATCTGATCTCAAGCCAGCCTGACAGTCCACCGTATACAAGACAACCAAAATCAAAGTGAGGGAAAATGAGAGAGGAAACTAGGACCTGGCGGATTTTAAGGGGCATAGAGTAACGGAATCTTACGAACTGTTTGTGGGTAGGAATGAACTTTAGGATAATTTGGGAAATGTGATTATTCCAGGACAGATGTTAATCAAACATTACCCCAAGATTTCTTACGAAAGTTTGGAAACGTATAGAGTAATAGATATTTAGGAATGAGGTTAATCAGATGCTTGGAACCAATGAGAATGGCTTTGGTCTCCTCAACATTCAATTTCATTGCTCACTGCCCAAGTATTAATACTATCAATATCTTGTAGCCTTTGGATCGCCCCAAGCATCTCGGTATGATGGAAGGAAAGGTAGATTTGGAGATCGTCGGCATATAAATGGTATTGTGAATGATGGATGGAATCAGGAATGTCATTAATGTAGATAGAGAAAAGAGTTGGTGAGAGCGAAGATCCCTGAGGAACACCACGAGTTAGTAAGAGGGGAGAGGAAGAAGTTTTATTGAGAATGATGACTGTTTGGGATATTTGATACAAAGAAGAACGGAACCACTTTAGAGAACTATTTGATATGGAAAGGTTTTGGAGTTTGGTAAGGAGGATTTCGTGATTAGCGGAATCGAAAGCTTTTGAAAAATCAAAGAGATTTTCTGTTGTCGAGAAGAGCTTTTTGCTCAAGGAAAGTATTAAGTTGTGGATAGACTATTCTTTCATGAGGATATGAAAGATTGGAGAGAATGGAGATGGGTCTGAAATCGGAAACTTTTGAGGGAACCGCAACTTTGCTCAGTGGACGGACAATAAATTTTTCCAAGCTGACGGGAAACTTTTTTTTTTTTATTGAGAAAAAATAAATTTTATCTCAATCAAGGGCATTGAGTATTTGAGATATAAGAAACTCATTCATACAACATATACAATTATAAAAATAATAAAAATTATAACAAAAGTAAGAAAAAGAAAGCTTAGTAAAACAGATGAAATAAAATATGATACAACACAAATTAAAAACAAATGAATAAATAAGAAAAAAAAATTCATGCTTATTTACAATATTTTATATATATTTTTTTTATTTTAATAGAATTTAAAACTGTATTACATAGAAAATACAATAAGTAAATGTGAAATTGGTAACATGACATGTACAACATTGGTAGAACTCAAATTTACAATATTTACAGTCAGCCGAGGGAGCTCCAAGTCGGGACCTTTCCCTCAATTGTGGAAGATAAGGCAAGCCTCTAAGAGATCCCAGCGCTTCTCTCTCAGCCGCATCACTGAGATGGGGATCCAGTGGAGACTGAGAAAGGACACTAAAGTCACATACGCTCATGACTTGAGTGGAGAAGCTGAACTCCAATGACATATTTACAAAAGATCTCTAGGCTACTGCCTTTTTAACCTTCGAGGAGGGTTGTAGGGATGGCTGGAGCTCGATAAGGATTTTGCTAAGGGATTAGGATGATGGATTAGGTTTTGATAAGAATTGTTTCACCACTGCTGTATTAGGGAGATGTGTCTTAGTAGGTTTAGGGATGCTGTTTCAGAGTCTGGGTGGGATGATAGGATGGCGATATCGTCAGCAAATGTTGCTAGAAGGGAATCAGGATGGGTTGGTATGTCAGTTGTGAAAAGAATGTAGAGAACTGGGCCCTTAGACACTGCCTTGTGGAACACCAGTCTCAACTGGATAATAATTGGAGAATTCGGTGCCACAGCGGACTTAAAGGAACGATTTGAAAGGTAGGATTTGAGGACTAGGTACAAGGATTGGAGTAAGTGGGTTTTGAGCTTGAAAAGCAAGCCATCGTGCCACACCCGGTCGAAAGCTGGCGCTAAGTCCAGAAAGGCACAAGTGCAATATTGCTTGTTTCCAAGCGCACATATGGTCAACAACGCGAAGGCCTTGTTGAATAGAGGAATGTCTTGAACGGAATCCAAACTGATGGGAAGCATATTGTGGGTTTCGAGAATGGGTAGGATACATTTGAGAAGGATTTTTTCAAAGATTTTTGAGAGGATCGGGAGCTAGCTTATTGGTATATAGGATGAGGTATTATTAACATATTTACCTGGTTTAGGGAAGAGGATGATTATGGTGTTTTTCCATATCAGAGGAAAATGAGTTATAGGGAGTATACAGTTGTATAGGTATGTGAGGAATATGATTGCTTTTTTGGAAAGTTGTCTAAGGATCTGGGTAGTAAGGAGATCGTGTCAAGAGGACTTTCGGAGTTTTAGATTGTTTATAAGGAATTTGACCTTATAGGGGTTGATTGCTTTAGGAGGCAAGGAGAATAGAATTGGAAAAGAAAGGAATTTTTTAATTAAGCAGTGCTGCTGGGATGGAGTTCAGGGTAGGGAGTGAATGTGTTGGATAGGTGTTTAGCAAATACTTTAGCTCTAGGCTGATCTGACAAAGCCCAGGTTCCATCATCGCATCGGAGAGAATGAGAAATAGAGTAGTATTTAAGGGTCTTTTTGGTCAATTTCCAGAGGGAGTTGTCATCGGTGGAGAGAGAAGCCATAAACTCAACAACAAACTCTTGATCCACCTCCCCAATATAAGAATACCCAAAAGTCCAGTCCTCACCAAATCTTCTACATTCCTCCCCCTAGCAATTCCAATGACCTTACCACCCTCCTTACCCCGTTCATCTCCCTACTTACAAATGTCATAGCTAATTTTATCCCACCGCCAAGATGCCATTGGAAAGGCATAATTCTTTCATACTTCTTTATCACAAGCCTCAGATCTTAAGTATACATGAGAAATCCTTAAAAACCTCCCCATGGTAAAATCAAAAGCCTGTACTTCCTACCCTGTTTATACAGATCAACTGAATTCCCACTTTGCCGATCCTGACTCATTGCCACTTTCCTTCTCATGCTGTATTCCTAAAACTTCCTTGGACCCTGAAAATTTCTGTCTTGCTAATATTTAACCAGAAGACCTACTTTCTTCTGTCCTAAAATCCAGAACAAACGACTATGGCCCAGACCTAATTCCTGTGAAGTTAATCAAATTATGTCTTCCTGTCATCTTTCCTGTCCTACTGTATATCTACAATTTTTCCTTACGAAATTCCAGTTTCCCGTCTCTGTGCGCACTTTGCCATCTAAATCACCCGGCAAACTACAAGGGATACCAAACTTATAAAACCTTGAAGTCAAGAATACAGGCAGCACCTAGACAGGAAGAGACCTCTAGGACTTCGAGACCACCAAGGAAACCCACACGACGTGTGAACAACGAAGTCTCCTATGCTGAAATGCTAAGGAGAGATAGAACAGACCAATCAATCTCAGGTCCTGCCAAATTTTTTGGACAGGTATATTAAACAACATAAGGTTTATCAAAACTTCACATAAAATTATGTTTATTAATGAGATTTACCTGCCCAATGTAAGTAAATAGATTTCGATGGGCAATACGATGTATATTTCATTATTATATTTACGAAACCATCAATTTTTACTGAAGTTACACTATAATCCTCAATTGATAGAGCTTTTCCTGAAGTTGTCAAACTAAACGTGTATGAAAAAGTTTTACAATAAAAAAATATTGTTTATCGACCAGTATATTTTGAAATACACAAAAATTAACCAGATACTAATCATAACATTGATATAAAAAACAAAAAAGTTTAAGTGATGGCTTCTTAATCGACCAATTTAACATCATAAGGATTAACTAAAAATATAAACTATTGAAGGAAGCTAGTCGACTGTTCTACATATCATGGGTGATAAATATTCAGGACGCAGTCCTTTTTTTTTTCTTTTTTATTTGTGTCAGCGTTTCAAACCCAACATGTGGTTCATCTTCAGGCCGTGGTTTGAGCACTGAGGGTGTTCAAGTACTCGACATTTTTGGCCTCCATGACCCACATGTTTGGGTTGAAACGTTGGCACAAATGAAAAATTAAAAAAACAAAAAACACTGCGTCCTGAAATATAGCCCTAGCACCAATGCCCTTCAGTGTGGCAGACTGTATTAATACTCAATAAAATAATAAAAACTCAAGAGTGCGTCCTGAATATTTATCACCCATAAAAATAGAAACATTATAGTATTTAAATAATTTTATTTAATGTAGAACAAATATGTACACAAAGAAAAAATTGCATTCTACCAATTCACCACTAGATAGATATTTAAATGTATCAACCAAGTTGTCTCCAGTGTATGATTTATTTATCATTGATATTTACTACCTCTTTGTAGAAAAGTGGCGATTTTATTGTTTATTTGACAACAATGTTTTTCGGTTTGATTTTTTTAATTTGTCGTTTATGAACGATAGGCAATTCAATCTAAATTGTCAGCAGTCTTATTTAAAGTTTTTGTAATTGTAAAATACATTCCAAATTATTTCCGTATGGCTGCTTATCCTTCCAGTAAAAACATATTTCTAGACGATGATGATATTGATGATGAAGCATTCCTTAATACAAACAGAAATTACATGTTAAGTAATAATATTAGTTCCAATGGTTTCTCATCCAGTAATATTCCTTCATCCATGGAGGAGAAGAGACAGGAAATGTTACAAAAAAGGAGAGAGGTAGAACAAAGAACTATTAAATCTACTGAGAGATCCCTTAGTTATTTGAGAAATTCTGAAGAAGTTGGTGCAGCTACTGCTGAGGTTTGTTTGTCAGTTTAATTTATGTATTTGTCATTTGATTTCAACTTAGGTAAATTTTCTATCATGTTTAAACCGAATATATTATTGAACTGTTATGTAAGAGGTTTTGAAGTTCACTTAACTATTAGATTTTGTATTTTTATGAAAAATTATTTTGACGTGGATTAAAGTGAACATTTAAAACTTATTATCAGCCCATATATAGTAATCTTTAAAATTTAATAAATTTTAAGTATTAAAATGTTTAATCGGTTAATAGCCCCATTTAATGCAGTGACCACCTTTTGTATTATCTTAAATCTTTCTAAGATATCTTTAGGATGGTTCAAACAGGATGAGTTTTCAAAGGGTATCTTCTCTTCATCAACCTTCAAATTTTTTAATTAATCCTGGGAACAGCAGGGTGTCTGAAATTAGAGGTCTTAAGGATTGTGGGTTGATTTAGGAATAGGAGAATATTGGAGGAAATACACTACATCTTTACCAATGGAGAAATAGGAATAAATAGGTTTTAACGATTGCGATAAAGTATCGAGATAAGGATTTTGTTTTACATAGTCCATGTTCTGTCATGAAATTTTGTAGGAGGATTTCGAGAAGAATCTATTATAAATAGGTCAGCCCATGTACTTCAGACCTAGGTATGATGTGTGGGTTTAAAGAGAACCTTAAAAAGATTGAAGGAGTGGATAAGGTTTACAAGATATGATTTGTCATTGGAGTCTGAGGAAAAATTGGGATTAATACAATATTGTATTAAGAAACATAGGTAAAAAGGGAGGATTCTAAAACAGGATCAAATTGAGCTTGAGGAGTGCAGTATGTATAATGACAAAGAAGGAAAAATGAATCTCAGGAAATTTCTGCAAATAAATACTTTAAATGAGGAGTATCAGGAGAAGGAGATTGTAAAGGACGTTTGCCCTCAGAGTTTCAGGAGCGTAAAGGCCAATACCTCCAACTATAATTAAATTTAAAATATTTCTATTATCAGCAGGGGTAATTGAAAATAACTAAACCTTTTAATAGGAATATAAATACTTTAAAAAAATGAAACATATTTTTGGGAGAGTGTTATTGCTGAGCACTAGAAAATAATTCCTGTCATTGTTGCATACAAATAATTAATTCAATTACACAATGTCTTTAATGTGTAATAATAAAAAAGTTTTAATATATATATATATATATATATATATATATATATATATATATATAAAACTGATATAGTAATAGAGTAAATTTAGAATTATAAAAATATACTGTGCGAATATGTTTTACGGTTGTTGTTCATTGATCATTTTGAATAATTTATTAATATGACGATGTTATTCAGTTAATATGGTCAAAAATATAATATTTGTAAAAGTATGAAATGTTTGATACAAAATGGTAATATTTTAAATTATCACCAGCTATAATAGCAATTTTATTTGTTTTACTACTTTTATACAAATACTTTTGATACAGATTGTTTGAATTTAATGATGACATATGACAACTATTTTGATGAATTAGAATTTTTACAAAAAGACTTGCAAAGGCTGGGGATAAAAGGGTTCAGTACACACCCAGAGTTTTTTTATGTCTATCTGGCAGATCATGTTATTTTCAATCCATGCTTACTTTCTTTTATTATCAGCTATTAAAGTTTTTCTTTTACGAAATAGACAGTATTAGCTGGAGCAATCTTTCAAATGTAATGAGACACATTGTCACAAAATGAAATTATAGTACTGAGGTATTGTTACTTTAATAACAATAAAACTATTAAATTATGAAAATAGGAAGAAAAAAAATTACGACTTTAATAGTGGCTATCTTTAAGATCTCAAAAGAGGCTAGTATGCTACAGAAAATAATTCCTCAAATGCAGCCATGTTTATACATTGAATTAGAGGAACTAGGAAGGTAAGTGGATGGGATGCAAATAATTATAAATTTTAAAAATCTGGTAATTATCGAAGTCCTTCTATGATCTATCAGGTCACATACAACTATTAGACTTTTGAACTGCAAATGAGCGGCTAATGAGGGTTCTATTTTCTTATTTATTACTGTATTGGAGAAATCTTTATCTTTTTTAGCCCATTATTTTGTTGAACTATTATCTAATGATTTGAAATGGTGCATTACATAGATGTTGGGTACTCTATGTTATGTTTTCTTCTGCTTTATTATTTTAGTTATTTTGATTTTAGGAATTATATCGTCAAAGAGAGCAGCTTGAAAGAACTGAGAAACGTTTGGATGACATAAATACTACCTTACGTTTTAGTCAAAGACACATTCAAGGAATCAAGGTATCTTCTAATTGACAATAGTACTCCTTTTCATTTGTAGTATTATGTATTTTTTTACATTAAGTAATTATACTTTCATGAATTCCATAACTTGACACTTTTTTTATTTTAGAGTGTATTTGGTGGTTTAAAGAATCTCATTAGTGGAAAAAGTGGAACTTTACCACCAGTATCCAAAAATGTAAACACAAATGAAACACCTACAACACCATCCTCAAGTAATTTATATGAAGTTATAGACAGAAAGAAAAATGAAACAGCGCCTGGTAAATTAAATTATATTTTTTATGAATTTCTATTTTGAAAAACAAAAATTAGAAATTCATTTAAGTAGTGATTTCATTTAATCCATGTGGAGTAGGATAGATAATGATGATTTAATCTGTGAGATTGAATTTTTTTAACTAAATATTTTTGTTATTAATTTCAATTAGAATAATTTCTCTTCAATACTTTTATATAATAATAATAAAAAGGCTTAGCGAACCCGAAGGTTCGATGCCGACACCACCAATCGCTTATTACACACCTCCCTCCACCGTTCGCCGTCCAAACCCAGTCCCTTCAGATCTGCTTTAATTCAATCTTCCCACCTTCGCTTCGGTCTACCCCTCGGACGCTTACCATTCGGCACAGCAAATATTAACCTTTTAGGAATTCTCTCGTTACTAAGTCCAACAACTTTACAAGTCCATTTGATTCGCGGCGATGAAATTATCTCAATTATATTACTCGGATACAGTTCACGCAATTCGGCGTTGTGTAACCTTCTGAACTCTCCGGTTAACTCATCCTTTTTCGGTCCGAATATTCTACACAATACTTTATTTTCAAAAACCTTAAGACGCTGCTCATCCCTTAATGTGAGCAGCCAAGTTTCGCACCCATAAAGAACTGTAGGCAAGATAATTGTTTTATAGATTCTAATTTTTAAGTTTCGGGACAACAGGCGCGAACTAAGTAGTTTTGTCACAGAAAAATAATAAGCATTTCCCCTCTTCAGTCTAACCTTAATTTCTTCTTCAATTTCGTTTTTTCTAGTTATCGTAGAACCTAGATACCTAAACTTATCTACCTGTTCAAACATATTACCATCCATATCGATATCACCAGTAGTATCGCCATTTTTGCAGCTAACCATATATTGTGTTTTATCCACATTTATTTCGAGTCCTAGTTCTTTACCGGCTTTCATTAACATTGTCGTATTCAGTTTTATAGTTTCAAGGTCTTCGCTTAACAGTACCAGATCATCCGCATAGCCCAGCACGTATGTTGTCCCACCCAGATCCAACCCTTTCTCGGTACGCATTACCTCCTGAATGGCACGTTCTAATGCCAAATTGAACAGGACATGCGAAAGGGTATCCCCCTGTTTTAAACCCGAACGAACCTCAAATTTTTCGGACAGATTATTACCGATTCTAGCTTTATTGAGTGTCTCCGTCAAGCACATCCTGACTAGATTTACTAATTTTTTAGGAATCCCCTGCTCGATTAGAATATTATACAGTTTCTGACGGTCAATAGAATCGTAAGCCTTTTTAAAATCTAATATTTGCCGTAAAGAAAATATTTGATCAATAGTCGAACGATTCCGTCTAAATCCGCATTGGTAGTCTCCGATAATTTCCTCGGCGTATTCCGTGATTCAACTGGTTAAGATTAAAGTAAATATTTTATAACATACCGGAAGGAGTGAAATTCCTCGATAGTTATTACAATCCGTCCTCGGACCCTTTTTGTGAATCAGAATAAGAATAGATTCTTTCCATTCAATACTTTTATACCACAGTTCAATACTTTTATGCACACTTCAATACTTTTATATCACAGTGAATTTGAATCTTTGTAATAGAGCTTTTTTCATGTTTTTTTTTTTTATATTACTAGCAATACTGCAGCAGAAAAGATATGATTTATCCTGCTTTTTTACCTTCACTACTTGTATATGTAATATATAGTATGGCAATCATTAAAATCATTTGGAATCTGAGTTTTGAACATAAATACAGAATCTGAGTTTTGTTGTCCCTTGAGTCTAAATACCCATGTCCCACAAAATGGTCTTTGTGTGTGAGTGTGTGTAAACAATCTAGCTCAAAAACAAAAAGTCGCACACAACTGAAATTGTGTATTTAATGTTTTTACATGCCTGAGATGTTATAGCAACTTTTTTGTCAAAATCGGCTAACCGGAAGTGCCACATTATATCATTAATTTTATACATTTTAATGATTTTCTGAAAAACGGCTCTAACGATTTTGATTAAATTCATTATATCAGTGTAAAATTAAGCGTTTTTTAATATAATGTAAGTCTTATTCTCAATGGTGTTCTCTAATAGAATAGAAAATCATTTTATTCTGGGACAAGGTCCTTTTATAATAACAAAACAGTACAAAATTAATATATTATATCTGGCCTAAATAAAAACTAACACGAAAAGTAAAAAGAAAGAGAAATAAGTAAAGTAAACATTAGTCAAACATACTATATACAAAATTTAAAAAAAATCTATAAATCTATATACAAAACCCTTGAAACTATGCCAAGGTACTTAAAACTATGTACAGTGGTAAATTATAAATATATAATTTTAGAAAAAAAAGTAAAAAATACATTACATTCTTCTTTGAAATAAATTCTGTGTTTCTGTAGAAAAAAAGAAGAAAAAAAAGAAAGCCGAATCTGATAGTAAAAATTGTCAGAATATTTAAGTGGTGAATTATATGTAGATACATTATTATGTAAATCATTATGAATAATATGTAATTTTACATAAAAGATTTAGGGTAAGGTTAAGCGGGTATCTGACTGTTTTGGAATAGGAGGGTTTTAAATGTAGATAGGGAGGAGGAATGCCTAATGTTAATACGAACATAATTTAACAGAGTGAGCAATAAAGGAGTTTTGGAATGAGGCAGGTCCGTGACAAGGGATGTAAAGATCGGAAGGTCGAGATCTTGTGGAATGGGAATGGACTGAGGACTTGAATTGGAGAATGTTGTAGGCGTAAGAAGGACGATGATTGTTAATGATTTGATAGAGGAAGGTACCTGGGAAATATTATTTTCAAATGGAGGGGAAGATCCACTTTAACTCATTGTAGTGGTGAGAAACATGGGAGTATCTCGGGGCACCAATTACAAATCTTATGCAGCTGTTCAGTAGTCTTTTAATTCTGTCACGGAACTCCACCGAGAGTCCATCATATATCACACAGCTGTAGTCAAAGTGAGGGAAGATGAAAGAGGTAACCAGGAGTCTACGCGCATGTTGATGTAGGAGATGGCGGAAGCGATGGAATAGTTTGAGGGTAGAAATTGTCCGTCGGGAGATGTGAGAAATATGGTGATTCTAAGAGAGGGTTTGATCAATGAAAACTCCTAAATTTTTAACAGAGGAGTAAAAGATTGGCTGGTCCTTAAGGTATAGTATGGGAAAGTTGGTATAGGATCTAAGAAGGGGCTTGGAACCAATTACAATGGCCTGAGTTTTGGCAGTATTTAACCTTAATCCGTTTACATTTGCCCAGACACTGATTCGATCTATGTCTTCTTGAATCTTGGCAAATGCTACCAACAACTCAGGGGGAGAAAAGAATAGGTAGATTTGAGAATCGCCTGCATAAAAGTGATTAGAAATTTCTTCCTCTAAAGAATGTTTAATTTTTTCATGTGAAATAATTAACCATTTCACATCATTAACTGCTATAAAAAATGGTTAAATGTAATGAATGAAGAAAATTTATTGGTAACTAAAGGAGAAATAAAGAGTTGAAAACTATACGGAGAGAACTGAGAGCACCCGACCTTAGCCGATCCTCTCTCTTTACAGATAACCGATACCCCTCTATACAGGACTTTTACATTGTTAGTTTAACTTTTATCTATCACTTATCCATAATTTTAAAAATGGTTTTTGAGGATATACTCATATGAACCTAATTATATAGCATTTCCAAGTCAATTTCAACGTTTTCCAAATCAAATTCAACCTTTTCCAAGTCAAATTAAACCTTTTCCATTTCAAATTCAACCTTTTCCAAGTCAAATTCAACCTTTTCCATTTCAAATTCAACTTTAGAATTTTTGTCAATTTTCGATTTTTTTCGAAATGAAGGCCACTTACTATATTATCGACGGCATAGCTTTTAAAAAATACAAAAAAAAATTTGATTACGCAGTTGCATATCCATTTATTTTAACATTTTAGATTTTTTCAGTGTGATATTTCTATGTGATATTCAATTATTTCCAAGTCAAATTCAACCTTTTCCAAGTCAAATTCAACCTTTTCCAGATCAAATCAAACTTTTTCCAAGTCAATTCAACCATTTCCATTTCAAATTAAACCTTTTCCAATTCAAATTCAACCGTTTTCATTTCAAATTAATGTTTTAAGTTTTTGTAAATTTTATATTTTTTTTTAAATAATGGCCATCCCCTCCCCTCCTCCAATATGAAAGTCTATTATTATCCTCTCCTAAGTAGAATTTTCATTTACGGATATTGATTTATTGTACCTATTCGGATTTATTAGGGACTGGTATTATGCTGTCCTGTACCTAGTTTTGAAAATAACCTCCATTTTAAGATTACGTGACTGTGTTTCGAATCATTTAAGTTTTTTTGACAAATTCGATATGTGGGTGTATTTTTATGTTTCCCGATCAATAAATTTTGAAAATGACATCCATTTTATGTTTACGCCACTGTGTTTTGACTTATTTAAGTTTTTAGAATTTATCCAATATAAAGGTCTACTTTTATGTTTCCGGAGCCGTAGATTTTGAAAACGACCTTCATTTTAAGATTAGGCCACCGCGTTTCGACTTATTTGAGTTTTTCGGATATTTTTCATATGAGGGTGTATTTTTATGTTTCCGGAGCTGTAGATTTTGAAAATGACCTCCATTTTAAGATTAGGCCACCGTGTTTCGACTTATTTGAGTTTTTCGGATTTTTTTCATATGAGGATGTATTCTTATGTTTCCGGAGCCGTAGATTTTGAAAACGACCTCCATTTTAAGATTAGGCCACCGCATTTCAATTTCTTTGAGTTTTTCGGATTTTTTTCATATGAGGATGTATTCTTATGTTTCCGGAGCCGTAGATTTTGAAAACAACCTCCATTTTAAGATTAGGCCACCGCATTTCGATTTCTTTAAGTGTTTCGAATTTTTATCATAAAAGAGTGTATTCTTATGCTTCTGGAGTCGTAGATTTTGAAAATGACCTTCATTTTAAGATTACGTCACTGC